GTTGCTCAGACTCTAAGCCAAACTGAACAAAACAATGTATTACAGGTTCCCTATGCCAGTGCTGTTGGAAGCCTAATGTATACTATGGTATGTACTAGGCCTGATCTTGCTTATGCAGTTAGTGTTGTAAGTAGATACTTGAATCAACCACAGAAGGAGCATTGGCAAGCAATTAAAAGGATATTCAGATATTTGAGAGGAACATCTGATATAGGTCTGATCTATGGAGCAAACAATAAATATGCATATACAATTAAGTAATATTTTTTAAATATTGTCAAAATTTTCTGGTACAAAAATCTAGTTACATTAGTCATGAGTATTATTTTTATTCATCAAAATTATAATAATAATATCATAATTTAAATATAAGATCTTATGTATACTATTCTAACTCTATATCAACTTTAGTTGTTCATCTGCCTTGAGCACAAAGAGAAATATGATTAAAAAAAATTAAGATAGAAAGAAGCAAAGACGAGAATATTTAATGAGAATTGATATATTTTTAGAATGTTTGAATTGAAAGATGGAAGAAACACTACAATAAAATTTAGTATTATTGACAATTATTTAATGGTAATAAATTAATTGTCTCTATTTTATTATTTGATAAAAATATTAATGATTATTATATAATAGCCACTAAAAATGTATTTACATCACATCAAAATTTACTATTAGCGACAATTATTTGTTAGAAAAAACTTAAGTCTCATATCGACTAGAAATAAAATAATTAAAGAGTATATAAGTGAATGATAACTCTCACCTTACAAGTATGTTTTATATAAGATTGAGTTAAGCCTATAACTTACTATTCTAAGTTGGTATTTAGGAGATAAGATAATTAAAAAAATTAAAGAATATATACTTAGAAGATAAATTTCATCTTCTAAGTCCCACATCAATTAGAAATAAGGTAACTAAAGAGTATTTGTACTCATGTTACAAGTCCTACATCGACTAGAAATAAGATAATTAAAAAGTATTATAAATCTTTTCTTAAACTTTTAGCGACAATTTTAAATGACACAAAAAGTTATACAATTTTCCTGACCATTATGAGAGTTTTTACCAGCATATAGAATAATTGCCGGTAAAATTTTAGCGACACTGCATACAATGACTAATGCGTGAAATGCCAATAAAA